GAGCCAAACAAAAACCATGCAGAGGGCTTCTTAGCAGTTATCCAAAACAAGACACTTGGTATGAAGAATGTTTCAGGTTCCAGGGCTGAGATTGCAGGTGATTGCATGGGTGTGGGGGGGACAGTGGGGGAACTCAAGGAAGCTGAGGAGGATGTGCCATCTCAAGCTGTTGGTGAAGTCACTAATGAGGGCAAAGAAGATGGTGGAGCTTGGTTTGATGAGGCAATGCCAGGGTTTGGGGATGAGCAGACTGGTGGTGATGAGTACCCCAATGTCAACATGGACTCTGCATCTGTGTAGGGTGATGAGGTATGTTCATGTTCATTCAGAGCAACATTAATGAAATTTTACTGATAAGTTATTGCTAGTTACAATGGCCTTCAATGCCAAGTGACACTCATTTCTCCTCTAGGTTCTCCCCCCTGAAAAGGGGTCATATGCCCTCATCAGATAGCTGAATTGCCTTCTCTCGGTCTTTGCCATATCTTTGCCCTCCTCCTTCATCTGCAAGTATCACCTCTACAACAACATCTGACTCCTCTGGTAGCTCTTCCCAAAAACCTAGCCAGTCCCTCTGGGACTCATCATCAAAGACAAGTTTGACAAAGCCAAGCTTGATGCTAACTAAATGTGGCAAGTCTCAGCTTCAAGACCAGGTCATTGACTTGAGTCACAAAGCTGAGTTGCTAGTGGCTTCTTCTTCTTCTGGGAAGACTAAATGCTATATGATCAAGATGGAATATCTTTGTAGGAAGGAGGAATTGATGAAAGAGCAGGTGGAAATGGCAACTAAGATGGAATTGGAGTTGGAGGCAAAGAAACTCAACATCCAGCTGATGAAGGCCCAGGAAATCACCTTCAACAGTGAGGCAGAGACGCTTTGCCTCAAAATTGAGCTTGCAAAACTCATGAAGGCCAATTCAGACACAACCCCTCCCACTGCATAGGTTTATCTTGTCATGGCCAAGTTTTTACCCACACTTCCCCACTGTATCCATCTCTGGCACATTCCCACTATGTACTCACGTCATATTGATGTTTCTGCTATTCTCTTGCAAGATGTACATATGGTGAATGTATTTTTTTCATCTTGCTAATACTACCATCTCCCACAACCGCCATTAATGGGTTCATTCCTGTCCAAGATGTTGAAACAACTGATCCAATAGCTTTGCTTGAAATTGCTGACCAATAGTCTCCACAGCCTCCACTGCAGCAACTCTGTCCCCATCATCAAGGCTACTTCCATCATTGACCACCCAGTCAGTTGAATGCTCAATCATATCATCCATTTCCTCCTCAAACTGGATGATCATGTTGTGTAGGATGATGCAACAAAGCACCCAGTAAATTGTGACTTTCATATCTTTCTCTGTCTGGATTTTCAGGTGCACTTCATGGAGGCTTTGGAAGTGCCCTTTCAAGGTGGCAAATGCATGTTCAACTCATATGCAGATCTTCCAAAGCTGTCATCCCATGTACTGCAGCAAAACTAGGTGCATACCTTTGAAAGGTACTTGTTATACACATTCTGATCTTGAGATAATCTCCCACCTTTAGGTTTTTTGAAGGGGACAACACACCACATCTCTGATGGGTATGCACTGTCCACCCACATCCAATGATCATGTGGAATCAACTGCATAGGGTTTGAAGTGATGTGAGTCCCCTGGAAGGCCCACACATCATGGACACTTCCTGGATGTCCAACTCTGTAGTCCATGACAAGAAGATTGTGCAGCAAAACAATAAGCTATCTCAGTAAGTTTCTTCTGCTGTTCACACTCAGCATTTGAGTACACACCTGGCAGTTCAACAAGTACCTAGATTTTCTATCATAGAACATTTCCCCAAAGATATGTGGTTTCTCAAAGAGGGGAATACTTGAACCATCAGTGGTGAACATGCCATTCCTCTAGGCTGAACAGGTGTATGACTCAGTGAAAACCCACACTCTTTCCATCTCCTGCAAGTCTTCAGATGGAATATTGATGAATCTATCATGCTCATCCAGTATAGCTACCATCACACAGTTCGTACAATTGACAACTGAGCCAATGCTAACACCAGCCCACTGCGCCACATCCTCAGGCGATGCTGCATTTCCATAATGCCCTGCATGGAAAAGGAAGATCACCAACTGGACTGCAACTGCCAGCTGACAGTTTTCAGAATTGCTTTGGAATATTGCATGTCCACTAATCTGATCTAGAATGCAATCAGAAATTGGTGGGTCTACATGAAGGCGCTTTTGAAACAGGTGGGGCTGATGATCCATGAAATGTTCAAGGAGGCACAGCTGAGATGCCCACATCATTGGCATCTCAAGTCTCTCAAGGATACATGCATGCTCTACTTCATCTCTGAGAGCCATGAGTGTGTTTAGCAGCCAAGCATAATGCCCATTGCGCTCAGCTGTGGAGTCTGTGTCATCAGAGGCACTGGATTCAAAATCTGACAGGATCGGAGTGACTGGTGATGGCAGAGTGATGAAGAAGAGAGTTGTGGGGGAGCTGGAGCCTGAACTCAGTGACATTGACATAGATTCTGAGCTGCTACTGTCAACTCCACATTGTGCATTTTCAAGCCTTGCTATCGCAACATGAAGGCTAGTCTTGTCCAGCTGTTTGAGCAGATCTTGGCGGACAGATTTCTGGGGCATCTGGTAGCTCTTGGATGATGGGTAGATGTTTATTGATCATGTACAATGCATTAATATGAGTTTGATATCTTATTTGACATGTATCTTCCAGGATAAGTAACTACCATGTATTGCTAGTCAAGCAGTGCCACAGGGCATGGCACGTCAGAGTCAAATTTTATAGCAGCAGTGGCCTGTCAGAGTGCGATTCCAGAGCACTTCCAAAGTCACCTTGAGCACCACTATTGTATCAAACCATGCCAGGTCTGTTTCACATAAGCTGACCACACCTGCTAGGTGCTGAAATGCACCCCTGCATCTGTCAATCCAAAGTTAGTAGATGTGTCAGTTAGATGTTACTGTAGAGTATTATTTTCAGCAGTCAATTTGCAAACTTGTGACTTGAGTACTTTGTTGTGCTCTTGTAGTACTGCAATCTGCTTCAAGCTGGGATGACTATATGTGCCCTAAAACAAAGTGATCAGTCAAACTGACTTGAGAAATGTGTAACTTGCACTATGAAATGGGGACAGTGCAGATGTGGTTGCCTCACCCACCATCAGCAAAATGCTGAAGTCATTTAATGACTGTGAGAAACTATAGTGATCTGGCTGTCTTGTCGGAGTGTCCACTTGACCAAAGTTGTTTAGAAGCATCATTTAAGTTCCCATCATGCCCATTGTGTGCAGAGTTGTGCTTGGACATGTCAGGCAATGTGATGGGAAGATGAGTAGATGGTAGACTGCAGAAGACACATACATGTACATGTGACACCCCTATAGTCATGCACCCAGGTTTGGTGTCCCTTGAATCTTCACCATGTCATCCAAGTCCCTGACATGCATCCTCAATGCAGTGCAGGATGTTATATACCTCAAGGTTGACAGATTCATGTCTGATTGGAACACCCATTGTTTTGCAATTGACATTGCAACACCCAGCCCCAAACAAATTGTCTTTCATTTGAAGAATCTTACCACTGTACCCACAAAAGACAAGTAAGTCTTAGTTTCAGTTTTAATTAAGCAGGAGTCACTGAGATAATTTTGCAGTCAGCTGGCCAATGCAGACTTGGCACCAGAAGAGATTGCATTAAACAAAGTCAAGGAGGCTAGTCTTGAACTCAATGTCACATGGAAGATCTTTATGCAAGCATATGAGGGATCTATCAGGCTCCAAGAGGCATACCACTGAGTCTGTACAGCAGATAGTAGGCTTGATGAGGCCCACAATGAGCTTACCTGGCAATGTGCTGGACACACTGATGCTGAAGTGACTTCACAAGACTTGAAAACTGAGAACAAACTTCCAAAGTATGTGAATTCTTAATATTACTGGGAACTTACAATTGATTTTGTTTTCAAGATTTGAATGCATCTCTGCCTCTCCATGCAGAATCCTTCCTAGACACTTGGGCAATCCAAATGCACCCCCTGACACTTACAAGTGTAAGACTTGGGCCTGCCACATGTCATATCCATCATTCTCAGGATCAATCCCAGTCCAGTCTGGACCCCTATCCCCTAACTCTGGTCAAGTCTGGTGTTTTACCCCTATCTCTGGTCCACTCCAGCCTCCTGGCCTTGCACTGCTCCACCCTGGTCCTCCCAGGTCCATGTCTGGGTCACCTGGACATAACTCTGGTCTGTTTTCCTTTGTTTGTACTATATTTAGTCTAGTCCCCTTTGCTGATCTTGCTTACTGTACAAACCTGTGTCCAACCCCAGTTATGCTGGTCACCTGGACTTTGACTATTAGTCTTGGCACAGCCTCTGTGGCTATCCTCTTGCTAATCATCTTTCTAATAGCTTATCAACAAGTCCAGCTCTATGTTCATTATCCCAGACCAGCCTCATGTATTTAACCCCTGTACATACTTTGTAGCACCCTCAGTGAGAATATCAACTTGGTATTACCCTCAAACTCTGTACTACACCCTGAGTCTACTCTATAGCTAAGGCCAAGCCTTAAACTATCCCTGGCCCCTGTCCCAGACCTCTCCCTGGCTTGCATAAGGGCACAGCACATAAGCTGAGACCAAGGGATGTAGATCCAACCCCAGACCAGCTTTCCCCTGTGCGCACTCCAGGACCAGTCTGTTTCCCACACTCCTGGCCTTGTTCCCACATTCCTGGCCTTAAGTCCAGTCCTCTGGACTTATCCCCTGACCTCTGGCCTTAACTCCAGTCCAACCAGACTTGGCCCCTGTCTCCCAGCCTTGACTTTGGTCAGCCAGACTTAGCCCCTGTCACCCAGTCTTGAAGCCCAGTCACCTGAGGGTAAACCCATACTTGACAGTATATTCTGACTGACACTTGTGCAAGCCATTGCATCATGTCTAGGTCCTCCTCTAGAGCCCCTACCCATGACCTTGCCCATTGGCACCCATTGGGCTACCTCTCATCTTACTCCAGAGCTCAACCCAGAGGTCTCTGCTGAAGCAGAGAGGTAACTGGTGACCCTCAGCACTCTGCACACCCCCAGGTTGCATTACCCCTGACACTATGTCCTTAGTGGTCAAAACTTAATGCATCCATTCCCTCACTCCTGCCCTGCCTTCCCCTTGTTTTTTCCTGACTCCAGACTGGCCATGTCAGCCCCTGAACTGGACTTACAATCTAGACTCACCACCAACCCCAGTTCATGCCTGAGCCCACTTCCAAGTCGGAATTACCCTCTGGACTTGACCCTGAGCCAGCCTCAACAACCAGACTCACTTCTGTTGGCTCCCTCAAGCCACCTCTGACCCCTGGCTGGTCACCTCTGTCCTTACCTCAGTCATCCCAGTACTCTATCCCAGCTGTCTAGGCCCAGTTCTACTGTACTGGATACTGTAATCACATCACTCACTTGTCCTCCTGACTCCCTGATATCAGTCTTCAGACCTCTGTGCACCTCCAGTGCAGCCCCCAGGCCCAGTCCTCAACACCTTCCCTGTTCTCCATTGGCACTCAGCTTCAGTGGTTTTTTGGTCCAGTCTGCACCCTCAGCCTTTGCTACACCAGCCTTGGAGCCCTGGACCCCCTTTCCAGTCCCTGGACTGTCTGTTACCAGCCTGTCCAGCCTTGGGTTGGCTTGTGCACACTCACCTGGACTTGTCTGAAGCCAGCTTGCCACTTCTCTCAGCCTCCTACCTTTTGTTGCTGGCTGTTCTGGCCTTGGTCTTGGTTGGCCACCTCACCCAGACTTGTCTAGACCTGTTACTAGGTCTTGGACTGGTCCTGGCTCCCCTCAGCCCCTCCTGCCCCTCACAGACCCATCCTGGGTCTCCTATCCCTTGTCCTGGTCCTGCACTAGTCACCTCAGCCTCAGGATGGTACTTGTCCTTCAGACTTGCTCCAGACCTTGGCTCTGGTGGTCTTAGCTAGTGCATGACACCTCCATTGCAGTCTAGGACCAGTCTGCCAGCCCTCTGGCCCTTAGCCCGGTCCCTGACCTCTCTTCCAGCCTCTCTTTTCACTTGGAGGCACCCCCTGGGCATGCTAGTCTTTTGGACTTACTCCTGGCCCCTGGTTTTCAGTCTAGGACTGGTCTGCTGGTCCTCCAGCCCCTGTCCCAGTCCCTGACCTCATTTCCAGCCCTTTTCATGTCCTCTGTCCTCCCTGGGATCCTAACCAGGTTAACAAGTTGGTAATTCTGCACTCTGGAAGCCAAAACTGGTGGTCTCAGTTGAGACAAAACAATTAGAGTCTACCCCAGGATCCTAACTGGGTCAACAAGTTGGTACTCTGGTACACCAGAAGCCAAACCAGTGGTCTCAGTAAGAGACAAATCCATTAGTGCATCACTCCAGTCCCTTAGCAATCCTGGCTTGTCCTGCCAGTCCCTCAGCCTCAACCTGGCTTTGCAGCCCTGGACTGGACTTGCTAACTCCAGTCCTCCTACTTGTGTCTGGTTTTATCACCTCTGGACTCCCTTATGACTGGTCTTTCTGACTCTGGCCTTTCTTTCTCTTTTCCAGTGTTCATCTCCAGACCTCCTCATGGTTCCTGACTGGTCTTGCTCACTCCAGATTCCCTTATTTTGCCCAGTCTTCCATCTCCAGGCTCCCTCAGCCTCTGATACCCCTTGGGTAGCTCTATGCTACTCCCTTGCCACTCCTTTGGTCTTCAGGCTTGTCCCTCATCCCAGAACTACCCCTGACCTCTACCCCAGTGCTATGGTCTTGACCTAGCACCTCTTTCTAGTCCTTGGTGGACCCAGCCTTGGTTCTCTCTCAGTCTCTGACCCCTTGATTAACCGGCATTGTTAATTGTTAGGAACTGAAGTACCTTGGTTGTAGGGAACTGACTAGCCCACTCAATAGGCACCCATTGGTGGCCAAGGGTAGTGCAGTGACCTATCCCCACCTAATGCTAAAGTTTGCTAACCCCCCTGATGTCAACCCCACCTTGGAGCATGAATTTGCTTGCAAGACAACCCCAGGCCTCAGCCCATCTGACAAACCCCTGACTCTGCCAGTCTGTTTCCCAGCTCACCCACTTGCCCCGGAACTTGTATGTTCATGAGGCCCCTTTGGGTACCAGCTAACCTCACCTTCCCCCTAACCATCACCACCTGTTCTCCCAACTCTGGTCTTACTGGTTGTCTTTGGCCTGCCAGTTTTGACTGGCCTCCTTGCTTCCTCATGGGCTCTGGTTCTGGCCTTCATACCCTTACTTTTGACTCTGACACTCCTTACTGTCCCTGTACCAGTCTGGCCTGCCCTGCCAGCCTTGTACCTCCAGTTTTTAAAGCTTTTCCCAGCCTTGAAAAAGCTTCCCAAAACCAGTCTTGACACCTGTTAAGCCAGTCTCAGCATTCTCAGTACTTGGACTTACAACTCTGGTGGTAGGTCTCCTACTACCCATCTAGTACTCCTCTCAGTGGTCCTAGCCCACACCTTGTACCCCTGTAGACTTGGGAAGTCTACCCTAAGAGGGGGATAAGGGACCTCACTAGTGAGCTACTCTCTTCCCAACCACTGTCTGTTACCTCTCCAGTGCCCTCAGCACAACCCCACTCAGTCACTGCACACCAGTCCCTGGTTCCCTGGCACAGTCCTTGCATCCTGAGCCACCTGCCTGGGTTGCTCCCAGTGCCTGACATTTGTGTTGGTACTCCAGTCTCACTATCTGAGTAGTCCTCAGCCTCAGTGATTGTGTGTTCACTGGACTCACTGGTGTCACACACCAAAGGTGTTTGGTGAGGTGGACATGGATACAACTGATGAATGGAGATGAAGACTGTAGCCCTCATGTGAAGAAGGACAGCCAGAAATGTTGGTAGTCATCCCTTGCACAAGAACAAGTCATCAGTGCCAAAGAAAAAGAAAGGGAGTGGGTTAAGTGCTGGGTAAAATTCTTAAGTGCCCATGTATGGCATTCCAGTTTTCAACATATCTCTGCCATTTCTGCAGATACTGAGACCATTCCCACACTCACTTGTAGTGCTCAGCCATGTGATCCTACCTTCCAAAATTGGCAAGGATTTGCGCACTCCACATGTTTCAACAGCACTCCCTCCAAAAGATGCTCATTTTGCTAAATTCTTCTGATATGGCCACCTCCATGTCAATCATTTTGTTTGTCCCCTTTGCTAGGGACCATGGCTACATATATCAACCAGGAGTTCCTACCAGGTTCTGTCCTGAAGCATCCTGGTACATCCCACCCTCATCTGCACCCTCTCAGCTGATCCAGCTTGGGCAGCATGTTCTTTTTGTCAGTATGACCTCTAGGAGGACATTCTTTGGTTACCTCAGGTATGTCATTCACTTGGAAAAGTCTTATGTGGTCATTTCAGTCTCTCCAGTCCAAGAAGCATATGGATCCTTCCTCCCTGCTCCCTGCAATGTCTTCATACCAGTCTCATCCATCATTCTTCCAAGATTGTGACAGCTACAGTATAATATACTGTTCTCCACTCTCCATGATCACATCCATGATGAGTACAATGCACATCTTCCCTTCTTATTGCAAGATTCAGCAGAAGATGCTCCCCCTTCATCCTCTCTTCCAACAGAGCCTCATTCATGAAGTTTGTATTTGCTTCACTGAGAGGACAGTTGGGGGGGAAAGTTGAAATCCCCTATGCTCCTGTCACCCAACAGACCCCCAAAGCTTGACCCCTGTTGACATCTGACTCACCCTGTCCACTTTTGGATGTACTGTATCAGCATCAGATCAGTGCTGCCTCTCTGTCATCCCACCTTGGCCTAGAAGTGATCTCTTTGAGATGTGACATGCACAGCCTCCCCCTAATGTGATTCCAGTGTGCTTACCCAGTTTCTGACAATGCTTGACCCATACTTTGACATTCTGACTGTCCTTGACTCACCTATTGCCAATACTTACCAATCTTTTGACTGTGCTTACTGATCCTTTGCTTTTTGGCTTACTTATCCTTACCAATGCTCACCAATGCTTTCCAAGATGGATAGCAAAAAGAAGGAGACATCAGAGAGCCCCTCTTGCTTGCATTTTATCATCACTCAGTAATTCATTCAGCAGCTTCGATAGTTGAGACTTTATTAAGGGTCTAACTATTGTCTACTTCAGTTATCCTTGTCTATCATCAATATGCTTCACTCCAAGCCCTCCCTGAGCTCAGTGCAGCTTAGGACATTGAATTAAGTTGCCATCCATCCTTCTGTAGGCTGACAGCAGTCTACCCTATTGCTGTCTATCACATTCTTGCTCCCTCTTCATCAGGAGCACCCCCAACCCTCAGCACTCATCCTTGAGTGTTGTAGCTTGCAAAAACCCACCCAAATCAAAGGTTCTACCATCTAGGTACCACATAGGCACACCACCACTCGCTCTTTTTGTCTTTTGTGTTGGTTTTGGTTGGTTTTTACCACTGAACCACTTTCAGCTGGACAACCCCTAGGCCTCACCCAGTCCCCGGACCCCCTGAACTGGTCCTCCAATGACTTTTGGCCCTCAGGCTTCTTGCCACTGGAGGACCCACCACCAACCAACTCCAGACACCCCTAAACTGGACTCAACACCAGGACTCACCTTTGGCTGACACTCCTAGGCTTCATTGCACCAGTCTGATGACCTGCTGGTCCCTGGTTCATGCCTAGCTATGTCAGGTCCTCTGGTCCTTGTCCAAACCAAACTCTAGCTGTCCTAGACAGTCCCTGGTCCCTTGCTGACCTCCAGATGCTCATCCAGACTGTTCCAAGGTGCTTGGCACCTGGCCTTGCCACTCCCAGCCTCAGGTTTGCATCTCACTACCCCTGGTTACCCTTGTCTAAGTGTTAGCCCACTGGCCTACACTGTTTTGGCCTCCAGTTGTCAGCCCACCAGCTAAATGGCACCTCAGGTCATCTCTGACTACCCCAAACCTCTCCAACCCCTTCAGACTGGCCTTCAGCCAGTCACTCTGGCCTGGCCCAAGTCCATACCAGTCTTCCTTTGGCATTTCCAGCCTTGCATCCCTGTCCAAATCCAAACCAGTCTCCCATCACCTGTCTAGCCCTTCCAGACCTCACTGGCTCCCAACTGGCTTTTCTAAGCCCTCCCTGACCATTAGACCAGTCTCCAGCTGGCCCTTCTGGTCCTCTCTGACCCTCATACCAGTTCCCAGCCTTCCTGGCCTTCTGTCCCCTTGACTGGTCTTCAGTCTAGCTGTTTTCCCCAGATGACTCACTTTAGCACAACTGGCTTCAGCCACTCCCAGTCTCAGTCTCTGGCTTTTGCCACCCCTGGCCTGAGCCACCCTTGGTCTCAGCCTTTGGCTTTGACCCCTGTCCCTGGTTTTGGTTTCCTGTTTCCTTGTTATATGTTTTCTCAGTTTTTTTGTTATCTGTTCTCTTTTTCTGTAGATATACATTTTCAGACCCTGTGACCCCCTGGAGCAGACCTTGGACCCATCCTGGCCTTCTTGACATTTCTCATGACCCTCTGTATCCCTGCAGCACACTCCCAGTCCAACCAGTGCATTCCTAGACTGGTTTTCCCAGCTTCCCCTGCACCCACCCAGCCTTTGTGTCAGTTCTAAGAGTAACTATTCTATGTCATCTCCCTCATCACCATCATCATCATCACAGTTCAAATTATACTGTATACTGAGCTGTAGGACATCCAGACCTGGCTTTTCTACAATGAAATAGTGGTCTTCTGCCTCTGGTGGGAGAAGGACTTTCCCCTCACTAGACCTTGACGAGGTCCAGAGGCTTGGTGTGGAGGCTGCCCCACTGCCTAAGAAGTGAGTTATATGGGTGAAATTCCCATCAGGTGTTCAAAGTGAAACTAGTCCACCCCCTCCATCCAAAGGATGGGTGTCAAGCTTCCCTGAGCCGACACTAAAAACAATCAGTGAAAACCTAGAGGTGTGCACAGCCGGGAGTACAACCCCAGGGCACTGAAGGGAGCTGTTTGGTCTAGGCCCTGCTGCAGGAGGTTTCCGTTGGCATAGATATTCGGCTGGACACCTTGCTTAATCCTGACACCTTCGTATACAAATCGGAGGTAATCCCCCAAAGAGGGTGGCAAAGGCGCACCAGGAAGCGTGGCGTACGACTGTTTTGACCCCTCTGGATTGGCTCCCTGTGTGGTCAGCAGTCCCCTTGTCAGGGTCTGTGTTATTGACCAGGAGGTTTTTAGTCAGTCGGGCCCCTTCGACGCCTTGAGCGCAACGCTGTTTCCTAGCACGGTTACCCCAACCTGACATCACCGGAGCTGACAACCGGTACTCACTTATGAGTTTTCCTCCTACCTAAGCAAAAAAAAAAAAAAAATAGTGGTCTTCTGTGATTCCTGACATGAGTGTTGGCTTATGTGGGATCATCCTGATGATGCTCTTGATCTTCTTCACATCGACAATGATGATTTCTTCAGTGAGCCTTGATGAGATGACAGTTTGCGATGAGAGGAGGAGAAGTGAGTCATCAGGAGGAGTGTAGAGTTGAATGAGCACAACATTGACAAATCCATTGTGATCTGGCATTTGTCCATTGACTGGCATTCTTGTAGCCAGCCTTGTGAAATATCAGACCTCACCAAAATGTTCCTGACCTGCATGTATAAACTTTTATCCTGTTAAAACCATTCTCAAATGAAAGAAACTGATTTCACCTTGACATTCTGGGACACATGAAGTTTTTCTGGCTGTTTCAATTGCTCTCGCCACAGTGATCACATGACCTGGCCATTGGGGAGCTGTAGGCCTCCCAGGAATTGGGCTATGACAAGTGTCTTGTCCTTCAGGAAGCCATGGTCATTTGTCTCATTTGAAGAGTAGCACATATCCTCCACCTAGCTGTACAGAGAGGTGGGGAGGACCTCTTGCACTGCTGTTGTCGAGCTCTGGCATGCTCACAAGCAATGTGTTTACCTTAGTTCATTGTCAGTTTCATTCAATACTCTGAAAAACAAGGAAATAATTACTCTGCTTTGCCATACACCTTCTTGCACAAGGTTTGCATATGGCTGTGAAGGTTGGCAGATTTCTTGGCCCAGATTACTGATTGTTCACTCCATTGTCCACTGTGCATACATTATTGGGGGTCCCTTGTGCATCATCTCTGTCATGGGGTGGAGGACTTGATGAACACATGGGTGTATGAAATGCAGATGGTTCTCCTGTAGTTTATAGTACAAAAGCTCAAAGTTGCAATCCCAGCAACAAAAGAGCATGTAAGTGTGCTCAAGATCCTCCTTCTTGATATGGTGCTGGGACATGATTTGAATGCTGTAAACAAGCTTGCAGAAGTTGGTCCAATAGCACTCAGGAAGTATTTGGTAAAGAAGTGCAGGTGCAAGACAAAAGATATACAGGTGGAATTCCCAGGTCTTGTAGTCAGTGTTGAGTTTCTCTGTGATGTTCTGTGGCTTGTGATCGAAAGAGGCTGGGATGTAGGAGCCAGCCTGTTCAACTGCCAGTCCATGCACAGACCACATGTCCTCATCATGAAATACAGCCCAATCCAAAGACTCCTTGGTGTCAGTAGGAGTGCATTTGATTGTACCTCACCACAGAGATAAAAAGAGGTCTGAGAGATTACTGGCAAGATGCATAAGGTCCATTGTCATACACAGTGGCACTCCAAGCAATTGTGTCAGCTTCGAGCCTACAATCAGAGGCAGCTTCATAATCCCAGTCTCAGTCTTACACTTATCTCACTGTCATTGGCTAGGAGAACTGACAATAAGGTGCAGGTTCTCTGCATAGTCACTGGAGCCACTGAGAGGAAGGTGAAAGACATCAATGTTGGGGTGGTTACTTCCAGAAGGGCAATTGTCATGTGGTTGCAGGAGTGCCAGATAATAGTGTGTTCCATGAGTCTTTTGTTGGCCTGGTGTTGGGCAGTACATGTGGCATCCATTTTTGCTGCTATGACCAACCATTCCATCCCAATAAATGAGCCCTGGCCCATTGGCCATTGTGAACAGGAGATATAAATTTGACTGAAACTCAGTATTGTGTGATGAGTCCCATATGTGAAGGCCCTTGGATTGAAGTGCAGAGAGATTATGCATGCCAATGAAGAGAAAAGAATCAAGGTTCTTGGGTTTGTTTGGTCCAGGTATAAACCCACCAGGAAGAATGTCTGTTTTCTTGTATTGCTTGTCAGGAGATAGGTTGAGGATGATCCAGATATAGAGCCAACAGTCAGACTGTTTGCTCTCATACAACTGAGTGCCATCAAGTGACACTGAGAGAACAATATCATTCTCCTGGATTTCACCATCCAGAACAATGCCAAGATAGTCCCACCCTGCAGCGAAATCATAAGTTAATGATGTGGATCTAGTTTCTCAGAACTTGCCTGCAATGATGTCATCAATTATTGATATTGATCCAATCTCTTGGAGTTCTGCTAGAACCTGCTGAGTGCACTCATACAGATAGCACATGTTGTGAGCCTGGGCAGGATTGTGATAGAGTGCCTGTAGCTGTGGTCCTAAAGGAATAGTAGTGAATGTCTTGGCAGGAATCTTGTTATGCCCACTGGTGCCCTGCAAGTGCTGTTGAGTCCAGCACGAAGACCCACAGATGGGACATTCTTCAAGGTTAACATAGGGCCCCATGAATGCAAGGCAGCTGTCAGGGCACATGCCATGCTGGACATGCTTGACACCCATAAGATATGCTATGAAAGTTTTGACCTTGTAGAATGATAGTACATCATCCACACCATTTGCAGTAGGAAAGCTCTGAATCATTGACTGGCAAACTTTTTCATATGTCTCCTGCAATGAATGCACCATAGCAAGATATACAGATATGCTGTGCCAGTGGCCAGGATTATTGATTGACATGGGAAGGTAGGGTGGATTATGAAGGCATATCAACAACTCTGTACTCAGCTTTGTGATAGGATCTTCTAAAGTTGCTTGGGAAAGAGCTGTGATGAAATGAAGTGTATCCTTTAGTACCTGAAGAATGGCTTTCTCTTGCAATTGTGCAAGGTTGATTGTGGGATGTGGGCAATGTTCATAGTGGATTTCGACCTGCACAGGATGTGGAGGTGAGTCAGGCATATTTTTGTTGGGAAAATGAGGAGGCAAGTTGGGCATATTTTCATCGGGAAAATGAGGAGGCAAGTCAGGCATATTTTTGTTGGGAAAGTGAGGAGGTGAGTCAGGCATATTTTCATTGGGAAAATGAGGAGGTGAGTCAGGCCTATCAAAACAAGGTGAGGAAGGTCTATTGCCATCAGAAAAGTGAGTGATCAGCAGGTGGAGATTCTGACATGGTAGAAGTTACATTGTTTGATCAGTAAGTTGATATAAGACATACCTCAAGTTCTGGATTGTTTTCCAGATGCACTTGGGCATTTTTGGCATGCTTGTGCCATCCTATGAACTGGTTAGGGTCCTTGTTTTCCTTGGCTTGTTTGGCTAGTCCATGGTGCGCCTCAGCCCTACAAACACTGGGGGGCACAGAACCATCAAAAGCCTCTGGTGAGTCTGGGGCAGCTGGTATATTGGAAACACACTCTCCCAAGAGTCTTGCCAAATATATACACTGCCTTTTTTCATCTGTTGGTGCTTCATTGTGAAGAAGTTTGTGGGGTTGCAGAGGGGAAACCCAGAGAGGAATCTGCAGGGAACCTCAGTAGTCTGTCAAGCTACTGAGGGACTAGATAAATTTTACTAGTGTATGTGTGCGCTCTAACAGCTTATGTAAGCCAAACAATCATGTGCCTAAGTCCAAGTAAGGACAGGGGTTATTTCACTCCAACACATTGAGATGTTGTAGCCATGTAGTATGGGTGGACACCTTGTGCAAGTGCCCAAAGCCATATTTCATGCAGACACAGTTGTATTGGTCCATAGTGAGTGCAACAGTTGGTGGAAAGTTGCAAAGGAAAAGGCAAAGCAAAGCTTCACATGCATGCATGCAAAGTAAAGCTAGTAAAGGGTTGCTTTGCTTTTTTGCTACTGACCATCACATCAATGTGGACTTCACATTGCAAAGAAGTTGCATTATCAGATCAAGTAACCAAAACTAAGAATGGGTAATAGTCCTAAATAGGAAATTCATAATGCTGCATTTCTGGCCATGCCCAGACATGTTGAATTTTCACTGGGGCTCATACCTTCTGGCTGATTTGGATGGCTCCATCTCCAAGTGCCACTTCACTGCATTCCACCTGCTCTGTCATATCCATGACTCTTGGACTCCATCCCAGTCCAGTCCAGATCCCTAGCCCCTAACTCTGGTCAAGTCCAGTCCTAGTCTGGCCTAGAAAACCTAATTCCAGCCTAGAGAGTGCAACTCTGGTCCTAGATAACCCAACTCTGGCCTAAGTAACTCAAGTCCAGTCTTTTACCCCTATCTCTGGTTCACTCCTGCCTCCTGGCCTTGCACTGCTCCACCCCAGTCCTCCCAGGTCCATGTCTGGGTCACCCAGACATAACTCTGGTCTCTTTTCCTTTGTTTGTGCTGTATTTAGCTTGGTCCATTCATCTGACTTTTGCATACTGTACAAATC